GCAATCTTGGACAAGGTTTCTCGATTTTGAGGTAAAAGTTGTGATGAATTCCTGAGAGTCGAGCGGTTTACATAGATCAGGCATCCATTCCAAAAGGCATGTCATGTTTATTGAATTCCGCATGTACTCCAGATAAGTCCATCTTTCCTTTCTCCGAAAGGGACACCTTTTGTGTAAACTCATTATCCATTCCATTATTTGTTTTTCTTTGAATCCTTTTCGATCTAACTTTGTTCCAAAAACTAAGGCAAAGAAGAGATGGCAAGACTGATTTACAGAACTTTTGTTTGCCATAAGTTGATATTTAAGATGCACCCAAACTCGACAGGGGCATCAAGTCGACCCCGACTGGCCATGGTGGCTGATGTTTCAAAGTTGAGAACTTTCAAAAAAAGGAAATCAAATTGAAGTGCCTACAAGGGAAAAATGAAGTTAAAAAGGTTAAGTCCCAAGTGGCTAACCGTCTCGGCAAGGTTTGAAAAGCCAAAGGTTCCTCAATGCTGTGAAGTTAAAATTGGAAGAAAGAAATAAAAGTCCCACAAGGGCAAAATAAATTTGAAAAGGTTAAGTCCCACACGACCAACCGTCATGGTAAACTTTTGGAAAAGCCAAAAGGTTCTCCGGGACTAGAAATGCTCCGTATTCAGAAAACAACCAGTTGTAGTTGAAATCATCATCAAAGAATGCGGGCCGAGAGTCAAGCGACTGAAACACTCAAGGCCACAAAACCAACCATCGTTTCAAACTGACAAATTTTTCTTTGTTTGAAAAACAGGAAACAGGTGCAATCCAAAAACAACCTTGCAAGAAGCAGGTGCAACCAAAAGAACTGCGCGGAGACTAAAATAGCCATGCAGCAACAACAACTCCAAAATGGGAAGTCTTCTTTCCAGCATTTTACTCATTCTCATAATAAAAAGAAGAAAGGAAGAAAGTTCAAAATCATTGTAGTATAGGGTACACCAATCTCTAGCTGCATTTTCCAACATAGGGTCCTCCCTAGTTAATTTTATTTTAGACATAAGGTCTCCACTCCCTAGTCTCTTTTTACTACATTAGGTCTTCGCTCTCTAGTTGATCTAGTTGATTTTATTTTAGACATATGGTCTCTACCTCCTAGTATTCTTTTCCAACATAGGGTCTCCATTCCCCTAGTTGATTTCATTTTAGACATAGGGTCTCCACTCCCTAGTCTCCTTTTCCAACATAGGGTTTCCACTCCCTAGTTGATGTTATTTTAGACATAGGGTCTCCACTCCCTAGTCTCTTTTCCAACATAGGGTCTCCACTCCCTAGTTGATGTTATTTTAGACATAAGGTCTCCACTCCCTAGTTGATGTTATCTTAGACATAGGGTCTCCACTCCCTAGTTGAGGTTATTTTAGACATAGGGTCTCCACTCCCTAGTCGTCTTTTCCAACATAGGGTCTCCACTCCCTAGTTGATGTAATTTTAGACATAGGGTCTCCACCCCCTAGTTGATATTATTTTAGACATAGGGTCTCCACTCCCAAGTCGTCTTTTCCAACATAGGGTCTCTACTCCCTAGTTTATGTTATTTTAGACATAGGGTCTCCACTCCCTGGTTGATGTTATTTTAGACAGGGTTTCCACTCCCTAGTCGTGTTTTCCAACATAGGGTCTCCACTCCCTAGTTGATGTTATTTTAGACATAGGATCTCCACTCCCTAGCCTCTTCTCCAACATAGGGTCTCCACTCCCTAGTTGATGTTATTATAGACATAGCGTCTCCACTCCCTAGTCGTCTTTTCCAATATAGGGTCTCTGATGGGAGGCTATAATTGTGTATTTTGGCTGCTAATTGCACTCAAATTCGCTGCACTTTACTAATGTTTGAGCTTTAAATGATACTAATTTGCACTGATTGTATATTTTATGCTTCACAGGAGCAATCCCGGGCTACAATGAGGTTAGGGAGCATTTTTGAGCTAGTACGGAGCTTTGAAGGCTAAGTAAAAGGTTGTGGAGTAATTTGGGATTATGTTCAAGGATGAAAGGACGTTAGCGCACTCAAAAAGAAGAACGAAGAAGAGAGCAGAAAGTTGCCCAGGTGCGCGGCTACACACTTGTCGTGCACTGGGTGCGCATTACAAGTAGAAACTGGCCAAAGTGCACGCCCACATGCGCGGTCACCTGCCCAGGTGCGCGGCCGCGCATGTTTGTCTGGAAAATTTTCCCTAGGCTGATTTGGTAATTTCGGAGGCGACTTCCCTTGACCTATATTGAGCCCAACTCGTCTAAAAAGATGGTATTCTGGATTTTGAGAGCAACTTGGGAGGGAGAAGCAGGACAGAAGCAACGGGAAATCAAGATACTTGATCCAATTCACTCAATACGAAAGTTTGTTTGAAATTGGGAATTGTAATGTCTTCTTGTTCTTCTAATACTCTTGCTATGAATATTTTCTCCGTTATGGAGTAATTCTCCATAGGGTTATTGACGGATATTGTGAATTGACTATTGTTTTGGGTGTTACTCATTGTTAATTGCGCAAATTTATTGAATGAGTTACTAATTGAATTGCAATGCTTATTGTAGTTTTACTTTAATAGAAAGAGAAGTTTTGCTGCTATTTGCATTGTACCATCTTATTTGGGTTGATTTTACGTCTCTTATAGGTAATCGAAAGAGCTTTAAGAGTTATCGATTAACCCAGTTCAGAAGAATAACCGAGAGGTGTTCTTTAAAAAATCGTTCATTCAATATTTTAGTGCATATCTTCATAAGACCTGTTGTTAGGCTAATTAAAGGAATCAAATCTATTTAGAAGAAGAATTTGAACCCCTGAAGTGGCCTAATCATTTGTTGAAATCGAAAGAGTTAACAGATGTTAAGAGTGATTTTAACACAGAGTTTCCTGGAACACTAGTTGATCACACATCTTGTCATCACCCTTATTTCTCGCACTGATAATCCATCGTTGTTACTAATCATTAGGGTATCACTAGTTTCCTACAGTTGATAATATTAGTTTTATTTGTAGTCGATAATAACATCAATCAAAAGGTTTATTATCCCGGATAGTGTTGCGCTGAAGATTTAATAGGAGATTATTAAAACCAATCCCTGTGGAAGCGATTAAATACTATACTATCTTTGACTAGCGAGCCTACATTTTATACACCGGTTTTGCGCTCGTTAAAAATTTTGGCGCCATTGTCGGGGAATGGCAATTAATTGTGTTTAAATTTATTTTCAGCGCTAATTCAAGAACAACTTTATTTTATTTTCCTTTTTTACACTCTTCTCATCTGTGTGCAAACAACGTGTTAAGTTCAAAGGTGTATGACTCGATCCGCTTCGAAGGACTTGGTGCCATACGACCCAGAGTTAGACAAACACCTGAGGCAGTTGAAAAGAGAGAAATGATCGAGTGGATTGTTGTTGGGTCAGCCTTCAACTCAGGATATAATGGTGAGCAACGAAGATATAGTAGACCTAGATGCCAGAGAGGCGACTCAGCAATAGGAAGCACGGTTAGCGGCTGAAGCATCCCGCTGAATTACGGATGAAATGGTCGATGGGGATCGAAGACTCAATTCAACTAAGTTATCGAGGATGCATTTGAAAATGCAGTTCCTAGGCCTGAAAGATCACTAAGAAATTATGCTAAACCAGTGTAAAACCAACAACAGTCTAGTATGAGGCCCCCACCCATCGATGCCAACAATTGTGAACTCAAACAGGGAGTCATCTAGACTATTCACAAGAATTGCATTTTTAGGGGCAAACCCAATGAAGATCCCAACAACCATCTGATGGACTTTGATGAAATTATGAACATATTTCGCTACAATAGAGCATCACATGATGCTATATACCTCAGAGCATTCCTGTTCTCACTGAAGGATGATGCAAGCAGTGGTTGAGAAGTCTGCCCACAGGGTCAATTCGTACATAGGAGGAGATGACTACCAAGTTTCTGGAAAAATACTTCTCGACTTCTAATACTGGAAGGATGAGGAAGGGGATTCATAATTTCAGCCAGTGCCCTCTCAACGGAATAGAGCAATGGATGCAATTCAGGACTTTTGGGATGAGCTAAACCCGTCATCAAAGAGATTGCTTAATAGTGCAGTTGCAGGTCCTCTGATTAAGAAAACTCAGGAAGAGGCTGTTACTCTTTTGAATGAACTATCTGAAGATGCAGATCAATGGTCCACAGACCAACGGGATCGGAGAAAATCAACAGGGGTGCACCAAGTAGAATCATCTATAGCAATGCAGGCCCAAATTGCATCTATAACTAAGGACATCAAGCAATTGACTATGGCTCATGTGCAAAACCAACCACAGGTGGGTTGTGACATTTGTGGGTTGGGACACCCTACGCATGAGTGTCAAGCTACAACTGAGGACGCCAACGTTGTGGGGAACTTTAATAGAGGAAACTACCAAGGTCTATACAACTTTAATGCTATGGGTCAAAGACATCTAGGTTTTTTGTGGATTTCACCTAATGGGAGCTTGAACTCATGGCAGCAAAATAATCTCAGACTCAGGGTCAGGGACCACCAGGTTTTCAGAACCAGCAGAGGCAGCAGTACCAACCACCACAGCTAAATCAGTCAAATATGGAAGATCTCATGAAGGCATCCATCAACAAAATTGATGAAAAATTTATGACTCTGGGCACAGCTATCCGGAATTTAGAAAGACAAATGGGATAGATTGCAAATTTGTTGTTTGAGAGGGCTCATGGGACTCTTCCTTCTGACACTGAAAAGAACCCAAAGGAAACAATCAAAGATGTGTCTCTGAGAAGTGGAAAAGTGTTGACTGACCTAATAGTGAAGGCTAAACCTGAGGTGGTTAACAAGCAGACTGAGACACCAGCAGAGAAGAAGAATGAAGAGAAAAAAGGCCAGAGTAGTGGAGTACAAAAGGAGATTGAAGAAAGTAGGCACATACCAGATCTACCCTTCCCTCAAAAGATGAAGCGGGAGAAACTTGACAAATGTTTTGGGTGATTCCTGGAGATGCTCAAGAAACTTTATGTAAGCATTCCCTTCACAGAGGTACTCATTCAGATGCCCGCTTATGCTAAGTTTTTGAAGGAAATTCTATCTAGCATGAGAAAATTAGAGAAAATGATAGTGGTCAAGCTAAATTCCCACTGTAGTGCGATATTGCAAAACAAAATTCCCCAAAAGTGCGAGAATCCTGGAAACTTAACCATACCATGCTCGTTAGGGAGTGAAAAGTTTGACAAGGCCCTCTGTGATTCTAGGGCATCTATAAGTCTAATGCCTTTATCTGTATTCAGGAAACTAGAAGGTGAGCTTGGAGTGATCAAATCTGTACCAGTATCCCTACAACTGGCCAACCAAACCACTATTCTACCTGAGGGAATCATTGAAGATATTCTAGTACGGGTGGACAAGTTTGTGTTCCCCGTAGACTTTATTGTGGTGGATATGGAGGTGAACAAGGAGGTGCCTCTTATTCTGGGGAGGCCATTTTTATGTACAGGAAGAGCTATCCTTGATATCTATAAGGGCCAGCTTATGCTCAGAGTGGGCAATGAAAAAGTGGTGTTTCAGATAAAGAGGATAATGAAATACCCCAGCGATGAGGTGTCCGCCTACTTATGTTTCAAGCTAGATATTGTAAGGGAATTGGCTGAAAAATACAAGTTAGACAAGCTTGTGGGACACACTTTGGAGAAGTGTATTACTCAGTCTAGCACAGTGGAGGATGAAGATCCTGAAATAAAGAAAGAGGCTAAAGCTCTTGAAACTGAAAATCAAGTGGTTAATGAGGAGGAACTAAAAGAGGAGGCTTCTAAGCCTAATGTGGAATTGAAAGTCCTACCCACTCACTTGAAATATGCCTTTCTTGAAACTAACAATTTTCCCATGATTGTTTCTTCAGACTTGACAGGTACACATGAGCAAAAGCTGGTGGAGCTGCTGAAAAAGCATAAGAAGGCCATTGACTGGGACATAGCTGATATTCAAGGAATCAATCCAGCCATTTGCATGCACAAAATCTTGTTGGAAGAAAATAGCAAGCCAGTGGTGCAGTCCAACGTATGTTAAACAAGAAACTGGAGGAGGTAGTGCACAAGGAGATTATCAAATTGCTAGATGCGGGAGTGATCTTCCCCATCTCTGACATTCAGTGGATCAGTCCAGTGCAAGTTGTACTGAAGAAGGGAGCATAACAATGGTGAAACATGAAGACAATGAGTTAATCCCCACAAGAACAGTCACTGGATGGAGAATGTGCATCGACTATAGAAGGCTGAATGATGCAATAAGGAAAGACCACTTCCCACTCCCTTTTATCAATCAAATGCTTGAGAAGGTGGCTGGACACGGATGGTACTTCTTCCTGGATTTGTATTCAGGCTACAATCGGATACCCATTGCCCAGAAGATGTTGAGAAAACCACATTCACTTGCCCATCAGGTATTTTTGCTTACAGGAGGATGTCGTTTGGGCTGTGTAATGCACCTGCCACTTTTCAGAGGTGCATGATGTCTATATTCTCCAATTTAAACGGGAAGTGTCTAGAGGTGTTCATGGATGATTTCACCCTTTTTGGTTATGACTTTGAGGATTGCTTGATGAATTTGAAGCTCGTGCTTGAACGTTGTGAAGCCATTCACTGGTTCTTAACTGGGAGAAGTGTCACTTCATGGTGAATGAGAGAATTGTCCTGGACCACAAAGTAACTGCTCGTGGAATTGAAGTCGACAGAGCTAAGGTTGATGTTATTCTAGGCTCCCTCTCCCGACTTCGGTAAAGAGCATAAGAAGCTTCTTGGGACATGCTGGGTTCTATAAGAGGTTCATCAACAACTTTTTCAGCATTACCAAGCCGTTAACAACATTACTAGCGAAAGATGCCAAGTTTATTTTCAATGTGGAGTGCTTAAGAGCATTCGAATTGATAAAGGAAAAGGTTTTTAGTGCTCCTATTATGGTGACACCTGATTGGAGCCAGCCATTTGAGATGATGTGTGATGCTAGTGATGTAGGTGTGGGAGCAATTCTAGGGCAACGAAAAGATAAAATATTTGGGCCCATCTACTATGCAAGCAGGACATTGAATGATGCTCAAGTAAATTATGCCACTACTGAGAAAGAGTTTTTTGATGTGGTCTTTTCTTTTGACAAGTTTAGATCATACCTTGTGGGAAGTAAGGTGATTGTACACACTGATCATTCAGCGTTGAAATACAAGTTGAGTAAGAAGGAATCCAAGCTGCGTCTGATGCGGTGGGTGTTGTTGATCCAAGAGTTTCACTTGGAGATAAAAGACAGGAAGGGCACAAAAAATCAAGTCGAAGATCATCTATCTCGACTTGAGAAACCTCCAGTTGAAATAGTCGGAATAAGGGAAGAGTTCGCTGATGAACAGATTTTCTCCACAGTCGCGGTCTCCGAATGGCCGCCTTGGTATGTGGATATAGCCAACTTTTTGGCTAGTGGATGGTTGCCCCATGACCTCACTCATGATCAAAGACGGAAGCTTCAAAGTGAGGTAAAAAGTTATTTTTGGGATGACCCTTTCTTGTTTAAATTGTGTGCAGATAGTGTGATTCGAAGATGTGTTCCTGAAGGAGAAATGGCAAGCATTCTGTCTCATTGCCATGATGGAGTAGCTAGAGGACACTATGGTGGAAATCGAACTGCAGCAAAGGTCATGGAAGCCGATTTCTTTTGGACTACTCTTTACAGAGATGCAGGGCGTATGTAGCTGCATGTGACAAGTGTTAGAGAGCGGGTAATAATAGCAAGAGGGACAAAATGCCTCTCCACTCCATTCTGGTATGTGAAATTTTTTGACGTTCTGGGCATTGACTTCATAGGTCCATTCCCAATGTCGCATTCTCATGAGTACATCCTAGTAGCCGTTGACTACGTCTTTAAATGGGTCGAAGAAATTCTTACTAGGACCAATGATGCTCAGGTGGTGTGTGAGTTTTTGTGGAAAAACATCTTTTCCCGTTTTGGGATACCTCGAGTGATTATCAGTGACAATGGGCCACACTTTGTGAATAAACAGTTTGTTGCGTTGTTGTCCAAGTATGGGGTCACACACAAAACAGGAACCCGTTACCATGCACAAACTAGTGGGCAAGTCAAAGTGGCCAACCTAGAACTTAAATGAATTCTTAAAAAGACGGTTAGTGCTTCTCATAAAGATTGGTCTATCAAGCTGGATGAAACCCTATGAGCGTATAGAACTGCGTTCAAAACAAACATAGGAACTTTGCCATTCAAATTAGTGTATGGAAAGTCATGTCTCCTACCTTTTGAGATAGAACATAAGGCTTATTGGGCAATTGAGATGCTTAATCTTGATCTTAGTCTTGCAGGTGACCACAGGTTGGGGCAGATGAATGAATTTGAAGAGTTCAGATTAGACACGTATGAAAGTGTGTGGATCTTCAAGGAAAAGACTAAAAGGTGGCATGATCGTTTGATTAAGCCAAAGGAGTTTCATGAAGGAGACAGAGTCCTACTGTGCAATAGTAGACTCCGATTATTTCCCAGAAAATTCAAGTCTAGATCGACAGGACCATATGTGGTGAAACATGTATCACCATATGGGGCAATTGAGATCCAGAACCAAGACGGAACAGAAAGCTTCAACGTAAATGGGCACATATTAAAACCGTATCTCATTGGGGGATCTGCACAGCAATCCTCGAGCATCAAAATCAATTGAGGATTCCCGGTTGAGTCAAGCTAACGACTATAACTCATAACTACCTCTAACCCTTCTGCTAGTTAGATTTTCTTTTTTATTCAAATTCACTTTTGTTCACAGCATAGAATAGATAAAAATTAGTGTATACTATGGTATAGTAGGTACAAGAAGGCACATGACGTGAAAGGTAAAAAAAACATGTGCAGTCACGCAATGACCGTACATATGGCGGTGCATTTTAAGACACCCCACTGCCCTACATGCACAGCCGCGCACTGACCGTGCATATGGCCATGCATTTTCATCCCTACACTTCCTCACGTGCGCGAACGGGCACTGACCGCGCACAGGTGAGCTCTTTTTGTTTTTCTTTTTTTGGTTAAATTTTGGACCCCCCCCCCCCCTTTTCTAAACTACCCTAATTTCGGACCCCTTCCCCTTTTTTTAAACACCCCCAATTTCAAAATCCTCCATTTTCCCTTCTTCTAAACAACCCTAACCCTACTTCCTTCTCTCATCTCTTCTCTTAAGCCTCCAATCCTACCATTAATTCACAGTGCCCTCTTCCCTTTTTTCCTCTCCCCACATCCTCACATGTTTTCCCTCAGGTAAGTGAGATGTTTTCTCCCTCTTAGTTTAGTTTATTCTTTTTCATTTTCTTGTGTTGTAGTAGATTTTTGTTAGTTCTTTCTTTCTAGTTATATTCGTTTTCTTATGGGGTAGGAGTTGAATTTCACCATGGATGGTTTGGTGTGACATTGGTGTATCATTCGTCTAATTGGGGCTAAATATTATTTTGTGTAGGGGTTCGTCTGAACTGTGCATATCAGATGTTCGTATAAATGTCACAAAGAGTTTGAGAGTGTAATTTTGTGACCAAGTGCGCTGGTGAAGTCTGAGTAACCTCTCTTGATTCACCAATTGCGCCTTTAGCTGATATTTGGTGTTTGTTACAGGTATTATGACGCCGTCCAACAAATAAAAAATCACATGTGCTTCCTCAAGTGGTCATGCTGGCTCATCCCGGTCGCGAGCTTCTGCTACTGCTCGCCCGTATGATATTACCAAGTTCGTCTACAGTGCTGCCCAGGAACGATTCTGTAATAAGGCAAGCAAGAAGCCCATACCGGAGAGGGTAATTGATATAGGATCCCTCCAAAATGAATGTCCCACTATGTATCATGAATTGGTCAGGCGAGGCTTGGGGATATTTTCTTAGTAACCTAACGAGGAAAACTTAATGGTTGTTCGGGAGTTTTATGCGAACTACCCAGAAAATGTCAACCATGTCTGCACAGTTCGAAAGAAGAGTGTGGACGTATCCACAGAGGCCATTCGAAGGGCCTACCATTTGCTAGTGTTTGGTGGAAATCCGAAAATAGAAGACAACTATGACACGTATAACAAAGAGCCACCCATGTGGCAACTGTTCTTTAGAACCATTTGTTGCCCAATAAGGAGGTAGTGTGGCTCACGCCGGGGCGAAAGTTTCATTCGTCATCGCTTACCTTTTGAAGGTAAGTGTTGGCTCCACAATATAAATAGTCGCTTGCTGCCTTCCTCAAACACCACTAAGGTGAATGGTCCCCGGGCCGCACTGATCTGGTGCTTATCAATGGCCATGATTTTGATGTGGCTAAGATTAATCACGGTGAGATGTTCATTCGGTTATTCATGAGATGTTCGTTCGTTGTCCTGTGCAGAGGTATGGTTTCTTTTTTCCATCCTTAATCACTCGGTTATGCCGTGAGGCACGTGTGCCGAAAACAAGTACATAGATGGGAAACTCAAAAAGGAATAAAATTTTCGGGCTGATAAAGTAGTAATTGGGAAGGACTGGGCTTGTAGAGGCAGTTAGCGATGAGTATGATGCGCCCGATGATGGCAATAAGGTGCAAGCTATAGAGGTTGCTGCCTCCTCGCTGCACGAGCAGGATGTTGGGGGAACCTCAGGTGGTAAAGGCGAGACAAGAAAGAGCGCTTGAGAGCGGGAGATGGCGGGGATGCGTACCTCTGTCACAGACTTGGGAGATCGAGTGGATGCCCTTGCTACACAAAATGCCAAATTTGAGAGGAAGATCATGGCATGGCTGCGTGCACTTGGCCGGGCTTGTGATCTAGACCCCGGCACTGTCGCCGACACTAACTGACTCTATCAGGGAAGTCTTCTTTACCTTGCATTTTTTTTTGTGTGTGACATGGGGACATGCCACCATTTAAAGTGTGGGGCGGGGGCTATGTGTGTGTTATATGTACATGTAGTTGTAGTTTCCGCTTGGTAGTTGTAGTTTGCCTTATCTTTGCTAGTTGCACTAGGTAGCAACTTAATAAAATAAAAATTTTAACTTAGAATTTTTGTCTTTTCCCGACGATGGATATCAATTCGACGGGTTTCTTGAGGGATTTAAGTCGAAAGAAAAATATCAAAAAGATTTTCTTTTGTTAGGTAGTGTATTCGTTCCCCCTTGGTTTTTCATTGTATCGCGGTTTTTTTCCAAAGGTTTTGTTTGAATCGGGTGTAGTTAGTTTTTATTTTCTTTAGGAATAGGGAAACCTTGCGCTATGAATTGAATAGAAGGCAATATCTCTTAACATGATCATGCCTTGAGAATAGTGAGTGCTTTAGTTGTGACGCTTAGGCTCAGTTTTTGACTCTTGTACAAGTACCTTAATTTGTATGATCTTAACTTTGCTTAAATGTTTTGACTAGAGTGTCTTGATGAGTCCAATCTTGAGTGAATTATGTGCCATGTGTGTGTGAGGTTTGTGTTATTCTGTACAATGCATTTGATGTCTAGAACTTGCCCCGTGTGTTCTAAAGCAAAATAGTAGTTTTATTCAGTCTTGGAAGTGATATAGGCATTTCTTTGTTGAGCCAGTTATAAGCTATCGCCCACCTAATTGTTATGTATCTTAGTTAACCCCTTTGAACCTACAACCCTGTTTCTTTGGCAACCACATTACAAGCCTTACCAAATTGTTTGAATTGACAATCTATTTGAACCTTGTACCTCTCATGAGCACTTGAATTTATTATGAACTGTGTAAAAGTTGAAGTGTGGGGTGGTTGGTTTGGCTTTTGAGTGGAACTAATGAAATAAGGAGAAAAGAGTAATTTGAAAAAGTGTGAGTCGCTTGAATTGAATAAGAAAAGAAAGAAAAAATATTAATTTTACGTATGTGAAGAATATTCCTTGATAGTGGTGACTCTTGATGTATTTGTGCTTAAATAATTTGGTAGTTGATGTATATTGGTGTGAAGGTGGAGTTTTGGTCCGACATAAGTGTGGGGTTTTAAATGTTAAAGTGTATGTATTAAAGTGCTTAGGGAGGTGTAGTCACTCTTATATCTAAATATATCCTACTCGTCCCGCAGCCTACATTACAACCAGCTAAAGTCCTACTTGATCCTTGACTGAATGAGCTCAATTAGTAGAAAAGTACACTACGGGAAAGCCTATGGTTCATCTTTTGTGGCATATGAATGTTAGTTCTGAGAGTGAGTGAATTCTTTCTATCATGAGTTCATAATTGTTCTTAACTTTTATTATGTGTGGAACTACTCTCTTTTGTTATGTGAGGGCACTTAATTCATGAAGGAAAGGCAATGTTATTGACCTATATGTTAGAGAAAGTGAGCTGATTATAGATAATGCGTGGTGATGTCGAGTCAAACTTTGAGGTTAAGAGGTCACAATATTGTACTTAATCTGTTTTAAAGTGTCTTGGTGTGATGAGTCTTGAGTGTTTTTGAAAAGGTGCGTATTTAGGTGAAGTGTAGTTGGATTGCTCGGGACGAGAAATGGTTTAAGTGCGGGATGTTGATGGGAGGCTATAATTATGTATTTTGGCCACTAATTGCACTCTAATTCGCTGCACTTTACTAATGTTTGAGCATTAAATGGTATTAATTTGCACTGACTGTGTATTTTATGCTTCGTAGGAGCGATCACGGGCTACAATGAGGTTAGGGAGCATTTTTGAGCTAGTATGGAGCTTTGAAGGCTAAGTAAAAGCTTATGGAGTAATTTGGGGTTATGTTCAAGGATCAAATAACGTTAGCGCACTCAAAAAGAAGAATGAAGAAGAGAGCAGAAAGTTACCCAGGTGTGCGGCCGTGCACTGGTCGCGTATGACAAGCACAAATTGGCGAAAGTGCGCAGCCACATGCGCGGTCACCTGCCCAAGTGCGCCGCACGTTTGTCCGGAAAATTTTCCTAAGCCTAATTTGGTAATTTCAGAGGCAACTTCCCTTGACCTATATTGAGCCCAGCTCATCTAAAAAGAGGGTATTCTGGATTTTGAGAGCAACTTAGGAGGGAGAAGAAGGACAGAAGCAACGGGAAAGCAAGATACTTGATCCAATTCACTCAATACGAAAGTTTGTTTGAAATTGGGAATTGCAATGTCTTCTTGTTCTTCTAATACTCTTGCTATGAATATTTTCTGTGTTATGGAGTAATTCTCGGCAGGGTTATTGACAGATGTTGTAAATACTATTTTTTTGGGTGTTACTCTTTGTTAATTTGCCCAAATTTATTGAATGAGTTACTAATTGAATTGCAAGGCTTATTTTAGTTTTACTTTAATCGAAAGAGAATTTTTGCTGCTATTTGCATTGTACCATCTTATTTGGGTTGATTTTGCGTCTCTTATGGGTAATTGAAAGAGTTTTCAGAGTTATCGATTAACCCAGTTCAGAAGAATAACCGAGAGGTGTTCTTTGAAAGATTCTTCATTCAATATTTTAGTGCATACGTTCATAGGACCTATTGTTAGGCTAATTAAAAGAATCAAAATTCGGAAGAAGAATTTGAACCCCTGAAGTGGCCTAATCATCTATTGAAATCAAAAGAGTTAACAGAAGTTAAGAGTGATTTTAACACAGAGTTGCCCGGAACACTAGTTGATTACACATCTTGTCATCACCCTTATTTCTCGCACTGATAATCCATCGTTGTTACTAATCATTAGGGTGTCATTAGTTTCCTACAGTTGATAATATTATTTTTATTTGT